TGCTGTATTTTTCCAAAATGCCTTCATCTTTTTTGGGTAAGTTTGTTTTGCATTTTTCATCCTATCTTTTCTTTTAAATGCTTTTTTAATAATAGTTTCTTTTATGTCATTTACATATTTAGTTGCTTTATTTACCCCTGTTCAGTGCCCCTCGATGTTATTATCATCCTATATAATAAAAGGGTAATATGTAAATTGACCCTAAAGGCAGAACAACTGGGAACGACCAGTCACTATGAGATGCACTGACCACCAGGGGGCAGATGATCAATGCAGGAGCTGTCCCCTGGTGGTCAGTGTGCTACCACAGGGGGAGGTCTGCTCAGCCATAAGCCGGGGAACAGGCCTAAGCTGACAAGTGGACATCCCCGAGGGCTCCTGGGCTGCCAGAGGGATGTCTAACTGCCAACTTAGGCCTGACCCCCCAGAGAGCGGGCCTAAACCGGCAGGTGGACATCCCCCGAGGGACCCCAGACTGCGAGAGAGTGCAGGCAAGGCTGAGGGCCCCCCCCCCAGCTCAGGGCCCACCCCCCGACACCCAAGTGCACGAATTTTCATGTACCAGTCCTCTAGTAAAATACAAAGAATGAGAAAGGTTTTTTTTAAAAGAATAACTTACTGACTTTTAGAGAGAGGGGAAAAGAGAGAGAGAGAGAGAGAGACATCGATGCTCTTTCTACTGCCTTCTGCACACCCCCATCGGAGACCCTGCCTGCAACCTGAGCATGTGCCCTTGATCAAGAATTGAACCAGCAACCTCCTGGTGCAAGGGATGGCGCCCAACAATTGAGCCACACCAGCCAGGGCAAGAAAGATATTTTTAATACATGGGTTAGTTTACTGCCAACCTTTGGAATATACGTTGATTTTTAAAATTGCTACCACCATCCTGACTGGGTAGCTCAGTTGGTAGGCGCATCATCCTGATATGCCAAGGTTTCGGGTTTGATCCCTGCTCAGGGCACATACAAGAATTAACCAGTGAATGCATAAATAAGTGGAACAACATATCAGTGTTTCTCTTTTTCCTTCTCTCTCTTCTTCTCCCTCCCTTATTCCTCTCTCTCAAATCAATAAATAAAAATAATTTTTTAAAAGAGTAGAGAAATATATTGAAGAGTGACCTGTTAAACAAGAATCAAGAATCAGAATTTTTTTTTTTTTATGATTCTTTTTTTAAAATTGATTTTGAGAGAGAGAGAGAGAGAAAAACAGCGATGTGAGAGCGATATATTGACCAGCTGCCTCCTGCACACCCTCTACTGGGGATGAGGCCCGCAACTTGGCACATGCCCTGACCGGGAATCGAACCAGCAACCTTTCAGTGCACAGGTTAACCTTCCAACCAACTGAACTGGTCAGGCTCTAAATCCTTTTCTAACACATTCAGACAGAATAAATTCTCTATGTTTCTGTGCTCCCTTAACATTTGGTATATATACCTCTTCCCTCCTCCCTGAATACTTACCACATTGGATCATCAAGAATGTGAGCAGCTTGCCCTGGCTGGTGTTGCTAAGTGGTTAGAGCATAGGCCTGTGCACTGAAGAGTCTGGTTTAATTTCCAGTCAAGGGCACATACGTGGGTTGTAGGTTTGATTCTCTGCTCTGGTTGGGGCATGTTCAGGAGGCAACCAATCAATGTGTTTCTCTCACATAGATGTTTCTCTCCCCACCCCCTCCTTCCTTTCCACTCTCTAAAAAAATCCTCTAGTGAGGATTTTTTTAAAAAAGGAACAACTTGAGAGTGAGGACTATATCTTATTTATCTTTATAGCCCTAGCATTTAGCACCTAGTACCTTGATACTCAAAAAAGGTTTGTTGATTCCTAGCCAGTTTGACTCAGTGGATAGAGGGGCAGCCTGTGGACGGAAGCTGTCCCGGGTTCGATTCCTGTCAAGGGCACATGCTCGGGTTGTGGGCTCAATCCCCAGTAGGGGGCGTGCAGGAGGCAGATGATCAATGATTCTCATCATTGATGTTTCTGTCTCTCTCCCTCCCTCTCCCTTCCTCTCTGAAATCAATAAAAATAAGTAAATAAATAAATAAGGTTTGTTGAATGAATTTGATAAAAGTCAGACAAACAGTGGTTACATACTAAGCCTTGATTAACTTTTTTAAGAGTGACATATGTCCCCAATACTCATAGTTAAGGATGCAGGGATGCTGGTGATAAGTCGCACAGCTGAGCACAGTGAAGAATTTACTGCCTTAAGAGTGATCAGCTTGTTCTGACAAAGGGCATGGTTTTTTTTATACAGCTCATCAATTATTCTTTGGAGCTAGTTTCCCATGATTCTAAGTCTCACATATCTTTTCTTTTCCCAAACATAACTAGTCATGTGATGCTTCTTGTTTTATTCACAGAGGACTGGTTTTTAAGTTTGGCCGCACTGAAGACTTATGGCAGTGAAAACATCTGATTTATTGCTCCTGTACAATAGCCCTGCATGGGTTTATTCTGTTGTGTTTGTTTTTTATTTTTAATACTAACTCCCAATCTTTTGTAATGGCATTTTCTAAACTTATTTCTGAGTGTAGTCTCAGCTTACATTTGTGTGATACTAAAATCATGAGAAATCGCTATTTAAACAATAACAACAAAAATCTATTGTGGTATGCATTTGATTAACATCAAATGTTAAGGAAAAGTATTCCACGTGAGTAAGTTTTGTTAAGTTTTATCATGGTATAATTGTAAAAATAAAAATAAATCAGAAAAGAAATTGTGGATACATCTTATCTGAGTATTTGTCATAGCCAAGATCCAAAATGCAATTGAAGTGCTCTTAAAATACGATGTGTTTATTTAAATGTGGGCTCTTCTGTGTCAAATATTAAGTGAAATATAAACATTTTCTTGTTTTTAAAAACTATTCGGTGGTCAGAATTCCTTCTCACTCTACTTTGTGTTGGGTTTATTCAGTTTTGCCAAATTCTGAAAATGTTTCAGTGTAAGTAAGTAGCTATTAAAAGTCTTCCAAGGGGTGAGTGAGCATGTCGGGAGCAGCTCCTGATCCAGCCACCAGGCTCCTCAAAAGTGTCCCTTCTGGCCCTGGCTGGTTTGGCTCAGTCCTTCGGCCTACGAACTGTAGGGTCCTGGATTCAATTTTGGTCAAGGGCACATGCCTGGGTTGTGGGCTTGACCCCCAGTAGGGGGCATGCAGGAGGCAGCCGATCAGTGATTCTCTCTCATCATTGATGTTTCTATCTCTCTCCCTCTCCCTTCCGCTCTGAAATCAATAAAAAATATATATTAAAAAAAAGCGTCCCTTCTGAGCCACTGATCCGTGATCAGTTGTGCCACATGGTTCTGGTGGGACACACGGTTCTGGTGGGACACACAGTCACTCCACAGCTACCACTGAAGGAAAGAAGAAAAAGATAGGGATTTGACACTAAGGTAACAGATTTTGTTGGTGGTGGTTTGATGATAAATTGTGTTCCATGTTTCATTGTATCTCTGTAATGAAACACTGTGCTCAAAACAGACCAGCCAGGTCAGTTACAATTACAGCCGTTAACCACCCGGGGTGCTCAGTCTCTTCCTCTTTGGAACCTGCTATCCCTTCCCTCTCGCCCCCACCTCCCTCCCAGGCTCTCCACTTTAGCCAAGTGGGATTTTTTTTTAAAGGAGCTAGCTAACCATGGGTACATGTTCTTCAGAACTACAGTTTGAAATGTTTTATTTTATAAAATTTGCTACAATTAGCCTTCATTAAACACGAAGTATCAGGTGATTTAAACCTGCGGTACTCCTTTTCTTGTCAGCCACAGTTTCCTCCCTGAATGTATGTTTTGAATACGGCCTGGTCACTGCTCAAAGAAGTAACTATTGCTGTCATCCCACAGCAGATCAGCCATGGTGAGTTTCAGATCCATAGGCTGTGAGAATTGGAGGGGATCTTAGAGGTTGAAGTCCACCTTCTCTTTTCACAGATGAGAGAACTCAGACCATGCAAATTTAAATGATTTCCTCAAGGTCATGGAACTAGTGTTTTTTTGTTGTTGTTTTAAAATATATTTTATTGATTTTTTTTTTTTTTTTTTTTTACAGAGAGGAAGGGAGAGGGACAGAGAGCCAGAAACATCGATGAGATAGAAACATTGATCAGCTGCCTCCTGCACACCCCCTACTGAGGATGTGCCCACAACCAAGGTACATGTCCTTGACCAGAATCGAACCTGGGACCCTTCAGTCCGCAGGCCAACGCTCTATCCACTGAGCTAAACCAGTCAGGGCCATGGAACTAGTGTTTTAATGTTGAGGCAGTGCACCTCGACCATGATGTCTTTCCCCACAGTTAATTCAGAAAGTGTTCAGGGAATAAGAACTACTGTACCTTGAAAACTGTTGGAATAAAATTAAGGTCTGCGAGGACTAAATTTAAGTGAGCTCATTTCCCCCTATTTTTTATCATCTGCTCTGCTGGTGTAGACAAGAATTAATTGGGTAGCATACTTTATTAAGCATGAAAAAGAATCTACGAATTGCCAAGAAATTTAACCCAAACCTTAATGAGGTGCCTGCATCCAAGAAAACGTTGGTAGCATCATTTTTAATGAAACCAAACATTTATTTAAAATTGTTATGAGCCCTAACCAGTTTGGCTCAGTGGATAGAGTATCGGCCTGTGGACTCAAGGGTACCAGGTTCAATTCCGGTCAAGGGCATGTACCTTGGTTGCAGGCACATCCCCAGTGGGGAGTGTGCAGGAGGCAGCTGATCGATGTTTCTCTCTCATCGGTGTTTCTAACTCTCTATCCCTCTCCCTTCCTCTCTGTAAAAAATCAATAAAATATATTTAAAAATAAATAAAAAAAATTGTTATGAAATTACCATTTAAACAAGTCTTTAGTCTTTTATTTTAATATCAAATCCATTTCTGACCTTGTTTCATTGTACATAGGGAGACTGCAGTAACGAGTTTGTCACACAGAAAAAATGTGGGCAACAGTGAAAGGAAGCTCTCTTGTTTAGGAACAGGCCTTGTTTTTCTTGGATGCCTTTGCTTAAAATCCAACAGCCAAATGAGGAAACTGTAAAAGCAAAGCAAACATTTTTGTTACAGATGAATCCTTCCACTCTTAAAATTTGTGCACATACTGATTCTGCCTTGATCTTTTGAAATTTATATTGACCAAAATGTCTCATCACAGAGGTTTTTGCATAAAATCTGAATTGGAAGAGCTCCTAGACCAGCGGTTTTCAACCTGTGGGGTTGCGACCCCTTTGGGGGTCGAATGACCCTTTCACAGGGGTCACCTAAATACATTCTGCATATCAGATATTTACATTACGATTCATAACAGTAGCAAAATTACAGTTATGAAGTAGCAACGAAAGTAATTTTATGGTTGGGAGTCACAACAACATGAGGAACTGTATTAAAGGGTCGCGGCATTAGGAAGGTTGAGAACCACTGTCCTAGACAGATCTCATTTCGTATAGCTCCTTACATGGATCATTGCCAAATAGTCCTCTGGTGTTTTTTTTTGAAAACCTCCAGTAGCAATGGGCTCACTACCATGTAAAGGAGCTAATTCCGTTTTGCAGACAGTTCAAATAGCTAACAATTTACACTGCATTACTTACTGGGCCCGGGTGCACTTTTTGGAGAAGCATAGAAAAGAATCTTTTTTCCCTACACAACAGCTTCTTAGTATTTGAAGATAGTTCTTAGGTCTCCTTTGGGTCTTCTCTTCTGCAAGCTGACTACATCCTGAATTCTCTAGTTGTGCCTTACAATATCACTACTCATTGAGGCGCTTGGATCACAGAATTCTAGAGTTGTAACTCAGAGTAGCTAACGTGGGGTATATTCTATGGATCAGGGTGCTAACATTCTCACACATTATCTCCTTCGAATCCTTACAACAACCTAGCGAGACATTATTATTATTATCTCCATTTCAGAGAGGGGAGGCTGATTCTCTGAGAGGTCACAGAGTTAGAGGTGGCAGAACCCAGATCTGTCTGAATCCAGAATGTGGAATTTGATCTCATTCTACCATGAGGAAACAGCCTCAGAGAAGTAAAGCGATTTGCCTGAAGGCACCAACTTGCCTGGGGTGAGCTAGGACTAGAATTCAGATCTGCTTCTGCTAAAAGGGTAAGAACACTTGCAGGGCATGGGAAGAGACTGGCTGTTGGGAAAAGCCAAGAGCCAATGACGAGAGAGCAGCAGATGCAGGATGAGGCAGGTTACACACAATAATGTGGATGGCTCTCGGAATAATGCCGAGTGAAAGAAGCCAGGTGAAGAAGAGCATGTATGGTTGGTTCCATTTATGTAAGTTTATAGAAAATGCAAACTAGTCTGTAGTGACAGAAAGCAGGTCAATGGATGCCTGGAGATGGGTGGGGTGGGGTAGAAGGGAGTCGTTCCAAGGAGGCAAGAGGAAATGTTTGGTGGTAATGGGTATGTTCGTTATCTTGATTGCAGTGATGGTTTTCACAGGTGTAGAGTACGTTTAAAAGTATCAAATTGTAGGCTTTAAATGTGTGTGGTTCATTGCCAGTTACAAAGCTGTTAGGAGAGGAGGGAGGAGGAGAGAAGAGGCAGGTCCTCAGTTTTGCCCCTACAGAGACAGGTGTCAAGGCCCATACTAACGCTGGTGTGACCCTTTAGTGATCAGTGGATCGGCAAGCGGGTGGAGAAAGGATTGGCCTGGGACTCAGGGCCTGGTTCCTGGTCTTGTCTCTGCCACTCCCAGAGTATGTTACTGGGCACTAGGGTGACCTCCGTCAGCTCCCACTTCCCATTTGTAACAGGCAGTATTGATCCCTGCTTCCCCAACCTCAGCTTCGATTGGAAGATTACCCAAGGCAACATACATCAGAGTGCTTTGTGAACTATGAGTGTAGGTCAAAGGGAGGAGGGCAGGGGGTGACAGTGTCTAGCCCAGTTATAACAACTGCTACAATGTAATGCAGGTGACTAGTTGGAGCTGTGTGTCCCTTGGCTAAATGACCCCAAGTTCTATACTAAAAGTTTCCTTGTGTCCACCAGCTATAATTTATCAAGAGTTGTTTTAGAGTCAGCTCTGCCACTCAATCACTGTGAGAACTTGGTCAGTCCTGGCTCCACTCTGAGCATCTGTCCAATGAGGGTATTAGACTTGCTGGCCCCAGCAGTCCTCCTGGCTCTTGCATTCAGGATTCTGTCACCTTCACGTCACACTATTTGCCCATGTTGACAACTCCAGGTGGAAAGAAGTGTGACCAGAGACAGTTCTCTTATCCCTGGCCCTCACTGACTGAGGCGTCAGGGAAATGGTAACCTTTACCACATCGTGGATTTGCTCCTTCCTTACTCTTCATTTTCATTTGTTCTTATTTCACTCTCATAAACACCAAGTTAACATATGCCCCAGTACCTTTTTAAGTTCATTCACTCAACATCTGTGACATTAAGAGGTTAAAAAAAACTTACCTCCCAGAAAGCTTGGTCATCAAAATATTTAGCCACATGAGGTGCTTTCCATATTTTGAGGTTTAAGATGAGACCTGTTTAAATTCATTAAAAAATGTTGAACATTCAGAGCACAGCATTTGTTATCTCAAAATATCATATGTCAACTATAGTATCTCAACAGAAATCCTTTTTTTTCCTCCCACAACCAGGAGACAGACAAATGGAAGCACTGTTCTTGCTGGGCCCGCTTAATTGATCCTATAGATCTTTTAACAGGAACTGGCTAGAGCAATTATTTCTAAAAGATTTCGATTACTCTGAGAGGTGTAGGAAAACCATGGATCTGACACTCTTCCCGAGATGGAATAGAACGGCCCTACCGACAGTGTCCCCACATGAAAGCTTATCCATTTGAAACGCAAGAGCTGCCATGGAGAGCGGCTCAAAGTAGGCGCCTTGTAGGCCCAATAAACTCCCACCAGCCTCCGCTCAAGGTTCCACTTGTGTAGTTAGGAAAGTAATTTATAACCACTTGCTTTTGTCCCTGTTCTTTTCACCTGTCCAGGCTCTGCCTCGAGGGCTTGGCCCTATGCATTCTGCCACTGAGTAAAACCTGCCGAATCTCCCAGAATCCATGAAGTGAGCGCTTACCTTTCACAGGAAGCAGGGACATGCCATTCATCGATTTATCTGTGTGTTTTTAATGATCAGTCTCGATGTATTCAGGAGTAAGACTAACAAGAGTAGGCGCATGCATAGTCATATTTTCCTGTGTTGTGCATGCCTTTACTGATATTGGCAGGTAAAGTACAATTAGCATGTCTCATTTTGCTAGAATTACTCAGAAATGAGCTCTATCACCGACATGAATTTTCCAGGTAGCTGAGGCTTACTCATCACTAATGAAAATCCATCTAAATACATAAATCCATATTGCATTTTCTTATGAGTCATCACTGAATACATTTAGATTCTTAAAAAAATCAGAACTGTTGCTGGGAACATCCACTTAGGAATGGCTATAGAACGCAGGTAGATAGCTGTCAAGGGTTGTCGGCCTGCTCTCCGGCAGCCCAAGCTTTTTGTGTTCTTGTGTCTGATTTTAAGAACTTCTTGTCCTCTGTGAGACTCTCTGCTTTCACTTCTAACATACTAGTGTGCCTTATCTTGGGGAACCAACCCCACTTCTAATCCATTTCTAATCTTCCTGAATTGGAGACCCAACAACCATACCTGATGGGGTTGTACCTTAAATAGTATAGACAGATTCCAAGTAATGGGTCTCTTGACAAGTAAAACGCTCGGCTTTCAGAGGGCTATGGGTGCTATTTTGGTTGCTTGGAGGCCACTTTCCCCTTCTGTTGTCCAAGTTCTTTTTTTTTTTTAATATATTTTATTGATTTTTTACAGAGAGGAAGGGAGAGGGATAGAGAGTTAGAAACATCGATGAGAGAGAAACATCGATCAGCCGCCTCCTGCACACCCCCTACTGGGGATGTGCCCACAACCAAGGTACATGCCCTTGGCCGGAATCGAACCTGGGACCCTTCAGTCTGCAGGCCGGCGCTCTATCCACTGAGCCAAACCGGTTAGGGCTGTCCAAGTTCTTTTTCATCAGTTCCCTTATGTCCAAAGCAACATGTAAGGAGGAAAGCCATTGGTTTTAACTCTTCGAGGAATAATCCAGGTGTCTTTCCCACTCTTCTCTTTCTTAACCCCATTAAGTATAAGGAACACCCCGCCCCAGAGTCCTTTCCAAGTCACTGAGTCAGTGTCCCTTTGGTGAAGGGGGGAAGAGCCGCGGTGCAGGTGGCCAGATAAAGTACAGAATGCTCAGCTAATTTGAATTCAAAAGAATGGGCACCTTACACTCCCCTTTGCTAAATAGGACCACTCTACCCAGGATAGAATGTAAACTTATGGATGAAAGCATTTTCTCATCTGTATTTAGTTAATCACCTCAGACTCAAAAACTGAGGCCAGATGGTACATTAAGGTAATTCTAGACAGTTTTACTCTCTAAAACCGCCCAGGGAACTCCGAAAAGTCCGTTCCTACATGTGTCAGAGCTGAAAGGAAGCCAGACGGTTAGTTACCATAATCCCTCCGCTACACAGAGGGGCCAGCCAAGCCCAGAGAAATGGCAATGTGACTAACACCCCCCAGTTCATTAGTGCCTGCTTATGCTACTTGGTCTCTTGTTTGGCATCCACTGCCTGCCTAGGGACACAGTATATGAGTGTCCATAAAAGCTGTTCACCTAAAGAATAAAAGTGAACGTTTCTGAAAGGATGCATGTTTTCCCCTGGCATATAAGTAAGATTGGCAAATTAGCAACTCTCCCAGATTCTTTGCTGTTCTATCATATTGCAGAAGCAAAAACATACTTTAATTCTCCGTTTAAAGATCGCCAGTAGCTCCCCACCTCTCAGAGTGATCTGACTCCTTGCTACCACTCTGCCCTCAACCCTGGCCACTCTCCCCCCTCACTCTATCCACATCAGCTACACTGACTTCCTTGCTGTTCCCCAAACATACAAAGCATGTTCCTGCCTCAGGGCCTTTGCACATGCTGTTCGTTCTCGTAGAATGCTCTTCTCCCAAATAAGCATGTTGTATGTCTCCCTCCTCTCCATTCAGGTCTCTGCTCAAAGCTTTACTAGCTAGGCCTTCGCTTACCACCCTTCCAAAAGAGCAGACTACCCTCACACTGACTAGTTCCCCCACTCTGGATTATTTATCTTCATAGCACTTATCACCATCTCGCATAGTATGCATTTATTGCCTTTTTATTGTCAACTAGAATGTCAGCTCCATGAGATCAGGGCATTGTTTTATTCACTGCTTTGTCCCTAGAGCTTAAGAATAGCGCCAGGCTCATAGTAGATATTGTATAAATATTTGCTGAACCAAATATTATTATGGATGTCCTCAGGTAAGCATTTTGGCATAAGGATTTCCTTGGCCTTCTGTACAAAATTGGGTGCAATCACCAGTCCTGGCTCTAAGAGGCTGCAATGTTGCCACTCTTCCTTTTCCTGTTGCAGGTGACCTCTGAGGGCCATTCCAGTTCTGAAATGATGTGATTCTGTTTGTGTGTTTTTTAATCATTTGGCTGGAGCTGAGGAGGTGGGCTCACAGGGAACTGGATGGGCTCGTGCACACCCAGCGATGGGGCGGATGCACTCTGACCCCGGGCCCTGTGCCTGGGCAGTGATGGGCGGGTGAGCGCACACTGACCTGTTAGGAGACCAGATGCTAGACCCATCGCCATGGACAAGCTGAGTACCCCAGTGTCGAAGAGCACCTGGAAGCCGAGCCTGGAAATGACAAAGCACAGATGGTCGTGTTCGGGTGTCAGGCTGCAGAGGTGATGGGGACAAAAAACACTGCTTGCACGAGTAGTCACCCGGTCACGAAGGGCCATCAGGGCAACAAGTGTCCTCTTCCTGGTGGTATATTCCCCTGTCATTTTCCTGCAAAGCCATGCAGACATGGAGGAGGGGCATTCCAAGAACCTCTTTGGCTTACTTTAATCCTCAGACCCCTGGATCATGAACTAGACCAGGAGCTAGAAAGACCAAGTTCAAGTCCCAGTTCTGTTACCAGCTGTGTGGCCTGGAAAAGTCACTTACCCTCTCAGGGCCCTGAGTTTCCTCATTAGGCCATTAAAGATGAGGCTTTATTTCTATCAAGTCAAGGAGGGGTACAGTTTGGCTCTCAGATCCATCTCCCCTGCCTACCCCTCTTGAACATGCTTCCCTGTTCGTTGTCCTTCAAGGCAACCCCAGGACTTCACTTCAAACAATCAAACAGCCCTGAGAGGACATTGACATGCCCTTGCAGTAGAAATATAGGGAGCAGTGATAAGCTGGACTATATTAAAGTTAAGAACTCTTCGACAAAGACACCATTAAGAAGGTGAAAGATAATCCACAAAGTGGAAGGAGGTATTCACAGTATATCTGATAAAGGATCTATATCCAGAACAGATAAAGAATTCCTAAAAATCATTAAGAAAAAGACAAAACAACACAAAATGGGCAAAAGAACTTGAATAGACATTTCAAAAGAAAAAAATGTCCTAAAAGCATATGAAAAGTGCTCCACTTAGTCATCAGGGAAATTAAAGTCCAAACAGTAAGTTTGATGGCTACATGGCTAACATACAGTATAAAAGAAGGAAACTATGGAGAGTGTTAGAGAATATATGGGGTAAAGGGAACTCTCATGTGTATAGATGGGTGCAAATCCCAATGGAAAACTGATAGTATCCAATAAAATGGATGTATGCAAGCTGTGTGATCCAACAATCCACTTCTAGGCATATATTCACTTGAAGTGCATCCATATGTTCTCCCAAAACATTAGACTGTTTATAGCAGCAATACTAGAATGTTCCTAATAGCTCCAAACTAGAAACTGCCCACATGGTCATCAATAATGGATCAATGAATTGTGCTGTATTCACACAGTGGAACACTTGTTTTAACTGTGTTTTCTTAGGCTCTGTAATTTGTCTACTACTTGGTACTCATTTATCACAGGGCCAAACTAATGGGCCAAGCTGTTTACCTCTCTCTCTTGCAAGTCAGCTTTTGTGGGAATGCAAAACTCATATTACAAACCCCCCAACCACAAACTCTAACACGTATTTTCACTTCCTGCCCGTTAGGGGATGTCCCCACCGCTATACTCCCACAGGCATAGTCTCAGTTCCCCCGTCCTCTGCCGCCTGGTCCCATGGGACATGTGGCCTTGCGTGGTATGCCGTGCCTCTCATTTCGAGGGGTCCTGTGAGTAACATTAAATTGTCCTTTCAGTGGTACTGGCCTCTCCATGTTGTCACTCAGTCACCTTTATAAATTAAACCTAAGCACAGTTCAACGCTATCCCCCAATGAAAATGTACAATCTACAGAGATCCTCAACAACATGGTGAATCTCACAATTACAATGATGCGTAAGGGAAGCCAGGCACACAGGACACAGACTTCCGGTATGACTCCATGTGTATAAAGGACAAAAGCAGGCAAAACTGATCAATGCCGTTAGAAGTTAAACTAGCGGTTACCCTGGGACAGGACACAAAGGAGCTCTGGGTGCCTGTTATACGGACGTGTCAGAACATTGATCAAGTGACATCCTTACGATATTTGCACTTTTCTGGAAGTCGACTGTACTATAAAAAGAGTTTGCTTATTTTTAAGTAACATTAAGTGGCAGAATAGAAGCTAAATCCAAGTCTGCTGACTGCCAACCCATAATTCACTCTATCCTGGTGCCATCTGAGAGCAAATGGATGAAGCAGAAATCACCATACAACAGTCCCCACGCAAGATGGACCCCCTATGCCAGGCCCTCGATGCTTTTCCAGCTAATTTCACACGATCCTCACAGCAGCCCTGTGACCAGGTGTTTCACCAATGGGGAGGGCCGGGTTAGGGAAGTGGGCCAAGGGTTCCAATGTCACAGGCTTGGAATGGATGGTGCTTGGGACTCAAACCAGGCAGGTCTGTCTACCCACCAAGGCTGGCCAGATCCGTCCCAGCTTTCAGCATTGGAAGGTTCCTTTCACAATATGGCCATTCTGACATTCCAGAAATAGTTTTTAAAAGTATTTTTCTTTAAATAGACTTTTTTGGTTACATTTAAATAGACATTTAAAATAAAACTTTGTGTCACTAAAGTGGAAGAGAAATGAGAGGCAACTATAAAAAAATACAATGAAAACAAGACGTAGCTAGAATCTCTCCAAGATGTGGCAGCCTGGGCAAGTCTCTCAGCCTGAGACTTCCTCTGCTGTCGCTCAAACCGGAAGTCATCCTGTGAGCACGTGTCCGAAGGGCGCAGAGACTCCTCGAACCCAGTGGAGACTTTCTCCCTGATATAATCAAAGGTCTGGATGGGAATTGAGAAAGAGCCAGTGCGCTCTGTGATTCAGTGTTCTTCAAGTGTGTCTTTACACCTCTTAAAATCCTACATTTTGTGAAAATTCCTCCGTCCTGGCACGGAGCACTGCCTCCGACTCATTCACATCCACTGACCTGAATAGGAAATTGGCAGATACGGTCTGTGGAATGAATGAAGGTCAACTGGTTTGCCCAGTGACACCACATGAATACAGTAGCTGGTCCCCATTGCGTATGAGGTATTCCTGCCTGCCCACTCAGTGCTTTCTCCATCTTTCTGTTATACACAGATGCCCCTCCTATGGAAGCAGCGGCATCCATAATCATAAGGAAAGGGGCCATTGTTGGATATTTACTCCACACCAAGCACCGTCCTGAGCCCTTTAATTATATGTTGCTGAATCTTCACAGCAGTCCCAAGATGTAGATCTTACTATCCCATTTTACAGATAGAAAACTGAATCTTAAGGAGAGTTTGAGTACCATGCCTGCCTAAGGTCACACAACAGATAAAATGCGACCTCTGTCTGTCTGTCCCTGAAGCCTGTGCCCTTTACTTCCAGCAGAACGAAGGCCTCCTACGAGGTCATGGCTGTCACTGTGCCCTTCCCTTTGCTGGGTTCCTGCAGAGGAGGAAGAACAACTTCTTGGTCCTCAGCTGTCTCGTCCTGATGAGGGCTGACTTGCAGAGTGTGCTGGAGGCAGGCCACACAGGCTCTGGGCCAGCCATGGGCAAACTACGGCCCACGGGCCGGATCTGGCCCGTTTGAAATGAATAAAACTAAAAAAACAAAAGGCCGTGCCCTTTTATGTAATGATGTTTACTTTGAATTTATATTAGTTCACACAAACACTCCATCCATGCTTTTGTTCCGGCCCTCCAGTCCAGTTTAAGAACCCATTGTGGCCCTCGAGTCAAAAAGTTTGCCCACCCCTGCTCTGGGCCCTTGTTCTCATCTCCCCAATCCATGTTCAGTGATGTCCCCTTGATGGCGGCCATGGTGGGGGTGTTAGCACCAGAGAAATCAGCAAATGTGCTAAGTCAGGATTTTGTTTTCTTGGAGAGTGGGTTGTTCATCCTTTACCGATATACCATTGGTTGACTTTGTTTTGTTTTGTTTTCTCTAGGCCAATAATACTCAAGCTTGCATGAGAATCACCGGGAAGGCTTGTTGAGACACAGACTCCTGGGCCCCACCTCCAGATTCCTAATTGAGCAGATCTAGGTGGGCTGGAATTTGCATTTCTTTAAAAAAAAAAAAAAAAAATATATATATATATATATATATATATATATATATATATATATTATTGATTTCAGAGAGGAAGGGAGAGGGAGAGAGAGATAGAAACATCAATGATAAAAAAGAAAAAGAAACATCAATGATGAGAGAGAATCATTGATTGGCTGCCTCCTGCACATCCCCTGCTGGGGATCTAGCCCCAACCCGGGCAGGTACCCCTGACCAGAATCAAACCTGGGACCCTTCAGTCCACAGGCTGATGCTCTATCCACTGAGCCAAACCAGCGAGGGCTCCTTTTTCTTAAAATTTAAATTTTATTTTTCAATTACATTCAAAATTATTTTGTACTAGAGGCCTGATGCACAAAATTTGTGCAAGAGTAGGTCTTCGAAGCCCCGGCTGCCTCTCGGCCCTGTGCCCCCCTCTCCACCGCCCCCCCCCGCCCACTGGTCACTGGTCATTCCAGAAGGTCATTCCACCATCTGGTCTAATTAGCATATTAGCTCTTTATTATATGGGATGAGTTTCAGGTTTATAGCATAGTGGTTGGACAATCATATACTTTACAGATTGAGCCCCTGACATTAGAATTTGCATTTCTAACCAATGCCCAGGTGATGATGCTGTTGAGAGCCACTGCTCTAGGAGAGCCACGGAATCACAGAATTTGGGATCTAGAAGGACAAATGGTCCAGATGTTCCCGATTAGCAGCCTGGAATTTGGCCCACACAATTTTTCTAATGATTTTGAATCTTTTGCTAATGCTTAGGAGAGTGTCTACCGTTTTCCTACATTCACTTATTTAATCCTTTAAACCACATGGTTCCTGGCCTCAGGCAGCCTCCAACAATCCTATAAGGGGAGGTATTATCATTATCTTCATTTAAAACCAGGTGACCAAAGCTCAGAGCAGTTAGGGAGCGTGCCCAGCCTATAAGAGGTCAAGACCAGTCTGACTTCACGGCAACTCCTCACATCACCTACACCATCAAAGGTTGAAACATGGACTCACTCAACTGGCTTGGGCCTGGTTGTCCTGCTCTGTTTGTTTGGGGGGGCCTCAGGGCTATCTGCCTTGGCCTTGCACCCAAGCTGCCCGCTTTGGGAAGAAGTAACCTGAAGAGGTGATGACTCCACACAAGTTAGGGGCTCGGAAGAATTTCTGAAGAAGTTGGCCAACAAATGCTCATGGAGGCCTGCTTAGTGCCTGGCCCTGAATGCATGCACCTCAGCTAATGGCTCCGGGCACACTGCTTCCTGAGTTAGGTGCGGGTATGAAGGGAATAAGCCAAGTGACTCACAGGGGATCCTTGGACCAGTTTATCTTATGCATCATCAGCCCGATGTAGGCGGTCCCTCCGAGCAGGCCCGGCAAGCCAAAGGTGTAGTGCACGCCGCACGAGTCGTGGATCCCCAGCACGCGGTTAAAACACACCTGGGGACAAACAGCATTGTCAGTAGATCTGCATGGGAGACTGACATTCCCTACGACTCTTTACACCCGGGCCACCCAAAGGGATGGGCTTTAGGGCCCACGTAAGAAGCACTTCTCAACCTGACCGGTTTGGCTCAGTGGATAGAGCGTCGGCCTGCGGACTGAGGGGTCCCGGGTTCGATTCCGGTCAAGGGCATGTACCTGGGTTGCGGGCACATCCCCAGTAGGAGGTGTGCAGGAGGCAGCTGATCGATGTTTCTGTCTGAGTGTTTCTAATTCTCTATCCCTCTCCTTCCTCCCCATAAAAAAAATCAATAAAACACATTTTTTAAAAAGCAGCACTTCTCAGACTTGCACGTGCGCTCACATTACTGGGGAGCCTGGTCAACCACAGGGTTGGATTTGGAAGGTCTGGGGCCTGAGATTCTGCATTTCTAACAGAGTCCCAGGGAATGCCAGTGCTGCTGGTCCACTGACTGCACTTTGAGAAGCAAGGATCTAACCCAGGCACCACTCACATTTTGGGCTCTAATTCTGTGTTGTGAGTGTGCTGTCCTGTGCACTGTAGGATGCTTAGCAGCATCCCTGGCCTGTACCCTTTAGACGCCAGTAGCACCCCCAACCCAGTGTGTCAACCAAGGATGTCTCCAGATATCGTCACATGCCCCTGGGAGGTGATCGAGACCTACTGGTCTGGCCCAAAGACAAATGCCATCCAAAGACAAATGGCCGATTAGAATAAAAGTCAGAAGAAAAGGATGTGACCACACCCTCAGACTCCCATTCAAATGCCCCTCCACCTCACCACTTAGCCTCCCAGATGGCCATCAGCCAACAGATACGGCTACCAATGAGAATTTGTTCAGGCTACTTTCTCCTTAGATTCCCCATTGTCTGCAGAATAAAACCCCAGACTCCTCAACCTGCTCAGGAGATATACCTGAGCACCAGCCGTCTCTCAAGACTCTGGTCCCACCGCACTCCCAGGTGAACCCAACGCTTCAGTCAAGAGAACATCTGTCTGTTTCCTGGCTGGGCCACCTGCCCTTCTCCCTGTTGAGCCTCTGAGCACACTGCTCCTCCGCCTGGAACACACTTCCCACTTCTCCGCCTGGCTAATCTTAGTTATTTGTCAGTGCTCAGCGGAGACAACCTCTGCTCCGGGAAGCATTTCCTGGCACGTCTCAGGCTGGCGTGGATGTGCCCTGGAGCAGTCATCGCACTGAGCTGTCTTTTTTGTCCATTTTCTTCACTGCGTTACAGCTTGGGAAGCAGGATAAATGTGAAGACATAGGTGATGAATGAATGAATAAGTGAATGAGTGAATGAATGAGTGAGTGAATCATTCTTGAATTGTTCCCCCAGTGATAGAGTCAAGGAAATTGAAGCACAGGTAGAGTGATGGACTCTAAGACGGATGATAACTTACGCATTTTAAAATACGGTTTTAAAATTTGATTTTTAGAGAAAGAGGAAGGGAGAGGAATAGAGAGAAACATCGATGCAAAATGAACGTCATCAATCTGTTGTCTCCTGCAGGCCCCCTACTGGGCTCTGACCAGGAATTGGACCAGTGACCCCTTGGTTTCTGGCTAGACGCTCAACTGCTCAGCCACACCTGCTGGACAACGTATGCATTTTTTTTTTTTTTTTTTTTGCTGTGTACTTCCTCCTTTCATCATAGGGCCTCCAAGCCAGAGGAGGTAAAAGACATCTGTTCTCATTCCAAAGATGAAAATCAGACTCTGCTCAAATCAAACTATTGGTAATTTCTTCCTTATCTGGAGTTGAAACTGCCTCCCTGAATATCCACTGTCAGTCAAATTCAGCTTCCTTCACCACCCAAAAGTATACTCCTTTATTCTCCACCAAGCCTTCAAAAGCCATGCAGATTTGTGGTTCCTAAATATTTCCTTTAGAAGTGTATCAATAACAAACTGGCTATCATGAAGTGTTCTGGTAGTATCTGTGCCTGTTGAATTTTGAAGGAAGAAAAATCCATCCACTTAGAAGAACTAAACAATCAGAAGTGGGCATGCCCTGATGATGAGCCAGCATCTTTCTTCTAGGCACTGCCCTTCCCACCCCCATTCTCACGGTTCATGGGCAGCCGCCACGTGTGTACAGCATGCCCACCCCCACCCAGCCAAAGACGGGCACAGGATCCAAGCTAGACCAATGAGCTCCTTCTTCAAAGAACTTGGAATCAGGGCCAAGAGATGTCACCCAGCTGCTTTCTTGCAAAGAGATACTACACTCCACCATGAGGAGGAGCAGTAGGAGAACAGAAAGGAAGTCTACAGAGTGAGAATAAAGCAGATATTCGGGAAAAACGAAGAAAGGAGATCAGGGACTTCTGGGGCTCCCCAAAACACTCCCATCCCCTGTGGACGAAAGGGGCCGCATGCTGACCTGACAAGCTCAGGGGAGGCCTGCATAGCAGTTTTGCAGACTTAGAGACCTAAAGTAACCACAAAAGATGGTCTGAAATTAAACTTTAACTAAAGCAGTTATGGTGGGCAGTTACGTCCTAAGTCGCTATCTTCACTGATAAGGTCAACCTTTACCGTAACTGAGCCTATCTGTCTTTTTGCATCTATGATAACATACCCTTGAAATGTCTGGGTACCTTGTGACTTCCCTTTTCATGGAGCCCCTGGGGCACAGCCAGGTGTGCTGGGCCCAGGACAGATGCCACAGATTCCTTCATTTATCATGTTAATTGCTCCTGCACCCACCTAAGTATGTGTCTATCACTTTACTTTTTATCCAATCCCGGAGCCCCCCCCCCCCCTTCGCTTTATCCCTCCTCCTTAATCTATCACCAATGAATTTCATGTAACCCACCTATGTTCCTCCTTTAATTGCAATGTATAAATACAAATGTAACCCCGCCATTCCCTGAAGCACTATCTCAATTCGTTGAGGTTCTGCTTCTCGGCATATGTCGACAATTTGGCTCAAATAAACTCACAAAAATTCTTTACAGGTTTCAATGTTTTTTTACGTTAACACCCGATACCAGCCACTCCTGGGCTCCCAGGAGCATTTCTTCCTTGGGTCCCCTGACAACCCAGGGGCCTTATAAAAACTTCCGCCAATGTCTGAGCAAGCTTGAGTGGGTTCTGCTCCCCAGATCCTAACACATGCACCATCCAGCCTGGGCGGGTCCTCCACCCCAAGCTTTTAAACCGAGAGGGTGCCAACACCTGTCTGGTGCAGCCTCTGGCACCACATGATGGTCCACCATGGCCCCAGGGCCCTCTGGCCCAAGACAAAGCAGAGGGTGTTTGCTGCCCAGCTCCTTACCGGCAGGCATTTGGCTCCCCAGATGGAGATCAGCCCAGCCACAAACCCCAGCACCATGGCCAGCCAAGGAGAAGGAATCAGGTGGCACGAGGCACCCACAGCCACGCCTCCCGCCAGCACTGCGTTGTGGATATGAGTCTGCAAAGAAATAGCTTGTGGGTGAATGAAGTGAGACACACGACAACATCTTCCCCAAAGTTCGTCAGCCAGCTGGTAGGCCCTACTGTAAGGTCCTCCCTCCTTCAGTGATCCTGAAACCATCCACTCCCCTGTTAAACTACCTGGACTTTACCAATGGTCTCCTCTCACCCCACTTCTCAGTCTCAGGGAACAGTCAGCCTGATTGGGCGGCACTTAGGGAATCAGCTTGAAAGTCTAGTTTCTCGGCGTTCAGCCACCCTCACACTCATTAGTGACGTGTCCTTGGGCACTTAACAGCTCAGTGCTTCAACTTTTCCACCAGGTAATGGGGTTTTGATTGTACCTGCTGAATGCAGGTTATTGTAAGAAATAAACGAGTTACCACATGTAAAAAGAAAAAAACCCTTAGCCCCGTGCCTGGCATAGAACACGAGTAAATGCCCATTAAATATAAGCCATTATTATAGTTTTTATTATTTTTATTATTAGTGTTTGCTCCTTGGCGCCTATGCCACTTGTATGGACCCAATAAGCTGAGTCCTGGATCACATCTCTGCTCTGTCCTTCATTCCTCTCAACTGGGCTTTGCCTCCTTTTGCGCTTCTTCCCCCCGTCCCCCTCCACTCTGACCAGGCCTAGGAGCTCTGGGCCCTCGGACCAGCTTCAGGGCTTCCCTGACCTGATGGCCAAACTTGCCTCCCTGGATGACCCCACCTTGTCTGACCTGGAGTCCTTGTCACCATGGAGCTCACCTGTGGGGACACCTGCCTCCCCTTAGTACTGTTAACCTGTCATCCGTGGCCACATTCTCTCCACTCCAGGCCCCACTGCCTGTCTAGAATTTTCCCCACCACCTCTGGCCGGCTGACTCCATGCCCTGAGCATCACGGGAACTTGTTTTGTCTTTAGCTCTACACTCCCATCATCTCCCCCACCCAAAACTCACACGATCTCCCGGCTCCATTGATAATAGCAGCTAATATTTGCCCAGAACTTATTCCACATGAAGCGTGTTACATACAATGTCTATGGCTTCACTAAGGCCATGTGGCTGGGTTAACCTACTTCTCTACTTCTGATTCTTATTCCAATCTTGACATTTCTTGGGTTAAGAGGAAAGACTGACACATTCTATTCTAGTCTCCCCTCCCCTCCACCCCTCACTGACTCTTGCTCCTGGCGGCTGGCTTTAATAACTAGCAGGAATGGGGGTCAAACCTGGGTCTGTTTGATGCCAATGCTGCTGGACTAAATCCCTTCCCCTAGGAAGCCTTTCACCACCGCGCAGTCTCCTAAGTTCCAGTGCCCATTTTACAAGCTGCTGCTCCCCCTTGTGCCCCCTGACACAGCGGACAAGGCTCCCCCACCCAAACTTGAGGGCTGGGGCTGGGGGGCGGGGCGTGAACACGTGTGGGGCCTGGGAGACCCAAGTGCGGCCCAGGGGCAGCCCCCCTCCTCACCATGCTGATCTTCCCTCGGGGGTGAGTCAGGGCCGACAGGGAGATGGCGGTGACGGCGCTGACCGCAAGAGCATAGTAGGTGTTGAACACGCCGTTCTTCCTTTCGTGTGGTATGGTCAGCAGAGCAGAGTTGAAACTCGGCCAGAACATCCACAAGAAGAGGGTGCCTGGGGGCCAGAGAGGGTCAGTGGCCAGAGCCAGAACTCCTGCTCCAGAGCCTGAGCCTCGGCGGACTTCAGGCGGGAGCAGCCCGGAGCAGGCAGATCTCGGCTTGATCACTCTCCAGCTCTGTGACTTCAGGCAAGACACGCGTCCTTCCTGAAATCTCAGGTTGCTAGGGCCGGGCTAACATACTTCACAGGCAGCGAAGCCAAGGCCCCTCGAGCTGAATCACCAAACCCCAGGCCTCCTGACCCCAGCGTGGGATGGCCAAATGCTTATCTTAAAAGTTAGCATGAGACTTTTGACAGTTTCCCCCAATGAGACCCCAGGTACAGTTAGTGACACACATCAGTAGCTTTCCTTCAGCCCCGTGGCCTGACACCCAGTCGCCTGCTGTGGAGTTCATCGTTTTCACCGCAGCTTGTGAAAATACGCCATTTTTACTCTTCAGTCCCTACCCTCTCCTTTCCTCGACTTCAGGGCCCTTCACTTGTCCAATTCCCTCCTTTAAGTTGAGGCCAAACAGATCGGATAAACTTATTGAAACTCCAATGGAGGGAGTTCTCCTCTCCTTTGGATAAGAATGAAGAGAGGTACCCCGGAGGGCAAGGCTTCCCTCAAAGGTCTGAATTCATCCAGCGCCACGTGGGGAGGTGAGTCGTGGCGGAGGGCTTCAGACACCGGGGCAGGCTGGTGACAGAGATTTCCTGTGGCGCTCTGGAGCCTCTTGCCCACCCAGTACCAGATCTCCCCTCCGCCTCGCCTTACCCAGCATGGCGAACAGGCTGGGGCTCGTTGTCCTCCGCTCTTTCTCCTCCGCTTCCTTGGGGAGAGGTCTTGAGAGGCACCAGGCCACGGTCAGCCCAAAGTAGGCCGCGAACACGTGGATGTACATCATGCTTAAGTGGTTGTCCGCCTGCAACCAACCCGGCGGGAGCAGTGAGTGTCGGCACCCCCTGCCCACGGGCGAACCCCCATGTTCCTTGGAGAAAGACCTGAGCTTCACAGAGGAGGGGTGACTCGAAGTCATGAGACGGGTGTTTGAAAAAGCTTATCCAGCCCAGCAGTTCCCTTTCAGAGGAGCCCCGTGAATAGCTGAGTGTCTATTCCAGGGAGGTTGCTGGTTGGTCTTATCAATAGCTTTTATTTTTATTATATATATATATATATATATATAAATATATATATATTTATATATATATATATAAAATTTATTGTCTAAAGTTTTACATATGTCTCTTTTTCCCCCAATTGACCCCCTCCCCCAGCCATTCCCACCCCAGGCAAGCCCCCACCGCCCCAGTGTCTGTGGCCATGGGTTATGCTAATATGCATGCATACAAGTCCTTTGGTTGCTCTCTAACCGCCACCCTCCCTTGCCATTTGTGTCTGGATCTATTTTTGTTCATCAGATTATATTGACCATTATATCCCTCCTATGAGTGAGATCATGTGATATTGATCTTCTCTGACTGGCTTATTTCTCTTAGCGTAATGCTCTCCAGTTCCATCCATGCTGTTGCAAATGGTAAAAGTTCCTTCTTTTTTATAGCGGTGTAGTATTCCATTGTGTAGATGTACCACAGTTTTTTAATTGACTCATCTGCTGATGGGCACTTAGGCTGTTTCCAAATCTTAGCTATTGTAAATTGTGCTGCTATGAACATAGGGGTGCATATATTCTTTCTGATTGGTGTTTTTTTCTGGTTTCTTGGGATATAGTCCTAGAAGTGGGATTCCTGGGTCAAATGCGAGTTCTGTTTTTAGGAAACTCCATACTGTCTTCCACGGTGGCTTAAAATATATTTTTATTCATTTCAGAGAGGAAGGGAGAGGGAGGGAGGGAGGGAGGGAGGGAGAGAGAGAGAGAGAGAGAGAGAGAGAGAGAGACATCAATGATGAGAGAGAACTATTGATCGGCTGCCTCCTGAATGCCCCAAACTGGGGACTGAGCCCGTAACCCCAGTATGTGCCCTGACCAGGAATTGAACTGTGACCTCCTGGTTCATAGGTCGACACTCAACCACTAAACCACACCGGCTGGACTACCAGCAGCTTTTAAATGCTTTTGGCCAGCCCTGGCTGGTGTGGCTCAGTTGGTTGGAGTGTACATCGGAAGGTCACAGGTTCGATTCCCAGTCAGGGTACATACCCAGTTGTGGGTTTGATCCCTAGCTGGGGGCTCCGGGGTGTGTGGGGGAGGCAACCGAATGTTTCTCTCTCACATTGATGTTTCTTTCTCTCTCCCTCTCCCTTCCTTTCTCTAAAATCAATTAAAAATATATCCTCAGGTGAGGATGAACATAAATAAATAAATAAATATAAATACTCTTGGCCGAGGTCCACTAAGGTGGGGCCAAAAGCCACACGGCCATGCCCCCGCTGCTCCCTACTTTTCAGCAGAATTTCATGGAGTGATAAGTGCTGTAAACTTTGCAACATGAAACAGCCAGGCTTCTCCTCACTGAACTGAAGTCCTTAGTAAATCCTAGATGTATGCTAATTTCGCTGTATCGATATCAAATTTAGTAATCCTTACTAACTCCTTTAGTGGGATACTCCTGAATCCTGTCAACTGTGCCTTCAAAAAACATCCAGAATTGGCGGAATTTTCACCACCATACCTCAGTGACCTCACTTTGGTTTAAGCCGCCATCCCTGCAAACCAAAATGATTGAAATAACCTTCTTAACAAGTGATCAAAGCTAACGTCCTCAGTCATGAGACAAATGCCACTCCCTTGCTGTGTGGTCTTGGGCGTCAGCTTTCTCATCTGTGACCATCCGACCACAGGGTCACAACTATAGCAGAAGAGCTGGGAGAACGGTCTGGCCTGGCCCCACCCTCACCAGTGGCCTCAGCCTTAGGCTTTGGACAGTTTCCCCAGTGAGGTCCCATGTCCAGTTAGTGACACACATTGACTGGTTTGAAAGAAGCCGTTGGCCATGCAGCTTGCTGGACCACAGCTGGGGGAGATGGAGGAATGGGAATGATCTTTTCATACATCCCATAATTAGCTTGTGATTCCTACAGTGTCATATTTTGGAAGTGAAAGGCGTTCATTTGCCATGTTTAAACATTTAGCATAGACCCCACTTTTGTCACCCCATTTGGGCCTGGCCGTATTATTTAAAATCCCAGAAGCCTCACCCAATGGAGGCCCCCCTTTGCACCTCCTCGCCCGCCCTCACAGCACCATGACTCACAACGAGGAACTGCCGGCTGAGCATCCTCGTGGCACTAAAGGCGGTCACCTCCATCAGCACCATCAGCACCAGCTGCGCCAGGTTGGCCTTCCCCAGGATGGCACCCACAGAGATCAGCACAGACATAGCACTCATGGTCGCCTGCTGAATCCTGGGGAGAGAGGGCGAGACGGGGAGGACGAAGAAGGAAGGATGACTCTCATTCCTTCACTCGTTCATTCACTCATTTAACAAACACTTGCTGAGGGTCTTCCTACTCTCCGCCTGGCACTGTTCGAGAAACTCGGGACACACTGGGAGAACAGAAGGCAAGATTTCCGCCCACATGGGGGCTGATGGGGCCCAGCCTGGGGTTTCCTTCGTCCCTTTCCCCCATCAGGGTGGCGTCTACACTCGGGGAGATTGGTCTCTCACCCACACTGGGGGTGCTCGGCGGTTCTCCTAGGAATGTCACTGTGAGTTACAGGCCAAGCGTTCCCTCAGCTCCCTTCTGGGATCTGACCCCTGGGACTCTGCCCACGGCTTTTCTTCTGCCGTCATTGCTCGCAAACGCTCAATAGAGGGCGCTCTTCACCTGCCGCCCGCGCGCCCGCCACCCAGCCTCCCCCTCTCCCAGGCAGTGGAGAAGTACTGGGTTCGGAAGCAGGACAAGCCTGGCTTCCGGTCTCAGCCTTTCCACTGAGCAGCTGTTTAACCTCACTGAGCCTGTTTCCCTGCCTGCGGGCGAAGAGTGATAATAAGATCTCACGGTAGTACCGTGGGGCTTAGAAGGAGTATTCGTGCACGTGTGTCTGGCACGGTGATGGCGCAAAGAACGACGGAGGAGTAGCAGCCGGCATTCTTAGCACTTTTACTGATTTCTTCCTCCTCTTGACAAATGAGCAGGCTCAGTGTGAGGATGCAGGATAAAACCATTTTTGTTTTTGAGGAACTCACGATTCAGCTGGGGAGATAGGGCTGGCTGACGTTATGAACCCTGATATAACGAGGCTAGAGAGGGAGACATTGAAGGGAAAGAACAGTATAGAGTGGACTCATCAAGGAGGGCTTCCTGGGGGAGGTGGCACTGACTACTAGAGCAATACATGGTGGTTAAACCAACCCATCCTCCCTGGGCGCCTTGCTGTGAGACACCCCCTTCCACCTGGGAGCTGATAATGATGATGCTACAACCAACATCACAACAATAATGATTTATTAAGCGTCATGTATAACAGGCTTGCAACTACATCACCTCATTTAAATTTTTTTTCAATTACAGTCGGCATTCAATATTATTTTATATTAGTTTCAGGTGTACGGCATAGTGATTAGACATTTATGTAATTTATGAGGTGACCACCCCCTAATTCCAGCACCAGCCTGGCACCATCCATGGCTATTACAACATTATTGACTATATTCCCTCTGCTGTATTGTACGTCCCCAAGAGTATATTGTAACTACCAATTTGTACTTAGTAATCCTGTCACCTTTTTCACCCAGCCTCCCACCCCCTCCCATCGGCAGCCATTAGTTTGTTCTCTGTATCTGTGAGTCTGTTTCTGCTTTATTTAGTGCTTTAGATTCCACATGTAAGTGAAACATATGGTATTTACCTTTCTCTGTCTGACTTATTTCCCTTAGCACACTATTCTGTAGGTCCATCCATGTTTTTACAAATGGTAAGATTCATTCTTTTTTTATGGCCAAGTAATATTTCATGGTATATATGGACCACGTCTTCTTAATCCAGTAGTTTATTTATGGGCACTTGGGCTGCTTCCAATCTTGGCTATTGTAAATAATGCTGCAATGAACATAGGGGTGCATACATGTATCTTTTAAGATTAGTGTTTTGGATTTCTTCAAATGTATACTCGGAAGTGGGATTGCTGGGTCATAAGGTAGTTCTATTTTTAATTTTTTGAGGAAACTCCATACTGTTTCCATAGTGGCTGTACCAATTTGCAGTCCCACTAACAATGCACGAGGATTCCCTTTCCTCCACATTTTCACCAACATTTGTTGTTTGTTGATTTATTGGCAATAGCCATTCTGACAGGTGTGAGGTGCTATCTTACTATGGCTTTAATTTTCATTTATCTGATGATTAGTGACGTTGTATCATTAATGAATATAATCTCCCCTTCAGTAGGTTGACTTTTCATTTTGTTGATAGTTTCCTTTGCTGTGCAAAACTTTAATTTGATGTAGTCCTACTTGCTTATTTTTTCTTTTGTTTTTCTTGCAAGGGGAGATATACCAGAAAAAATATATTCCTAAGAGCAATGTCAGAGATTTTACTACCCATGTTTTCTAGGATTTTTATGGTTTCAGGTCTTACATTTAAGTTTTCAGTCCATTTTGAATTTATTCTTGTGTATGGTGGAAGGAGGTGGTCTAGTTTCTTTTCTTCTTCTTTTTTTTTTTTTTTTTTTTTTGGCACATATCTGTTCAATTTTCCCAACACCATTTATTGAATAGACTGTCTTAACCTCATTGTATATTCTTGGCTCCTTTGATATATGTTAATTTAACATATAGGAGTGGATTTATTTATGGCTCTCTATTCTGTTCCATTGACCTGTTTTTTTATCCCAGTACAAAGCTGTTTTGATTACTATAACTTTGTTGTATAGTTTGATATCAGGTAGCATGATACCTCCAACTTTGTTCTTTTTTTCCCTCATGATTGCTGTGGCTATTTGGGGTCTTTTGTGGTTCCATATAAATTTTAGGATTATTCGATCTAGTTCTGTGAAAAATGTCATTGGTATTTTGTTAGGGATTGCATTGAATCTAGTGGTTGCTTTGGGTAGCATTTTAATGATGCATCATTTTAATGATGAACATTTTAATGATGCAAATTCTTCCTATCCATGAACACAAGATATGCTCCCACTTATTTATTTTGTCTTCAATTAATTTCTTCAAAATCTTATAATTTTCTGAGCACAGGTCTTTTACCTTCTTGGTTAAATTTATTCCTAGATATTTTATTTTTTGATGCAATTGTAAATGAGGTTTTCTTAATTTCTCTTTCTGATAGTTCTTTATTGGTGTATAAAAATGCTACCAATTTCTGGATATTAATTTTGTATCCTGCCACTTTATTGAATTTATTTATTAGTTCTAGTAGTTTTCTTTATATACAGTATCATGTCATCTGCAAATAATGACAACTTAACTTCTTTACAATTTGGATGCCTTTTTTTATTTTTCTTGTCTGATTGCTGTGGCTAGGACTTCCTCATTTAAATTTTAATCCAAGTAACCCTCTGAAAATGGTGCTAGGGTACCACTCAGCCTCTCCATCTTACACAGGAGCACACTGAGACTAGAAGAGGAGATGTTTTTGGCAATGACCACACGGCCAGTTAATGACACACATGAGGTTCAAACCTAGTTGGCCTGATTCAAAGACTGTGCTCTGAAGTCTGCACACAGCTCACCCAGTGCTTGCTGCCAATGTAGGGTCCCGCTTAAGGTCAAGGACTTCACAGGGAAGGTCAGGGGGCAAAGGGCAAGGGGAGGCGTCTCACAGGGACCAGGAATTATTTAGAATCCCTTACTATGTGAGGAAAACAAAGGACAAAGCTGAATAAGTCAGGGCTCTGCCCTGAAGGAACTGGTCATGGATGACTCAAGGCTGAACCAACTCCCTGCCAAGTCAGGCTCCACAGCGCGGGTGAGGCTGAGGGAGAGGACCCATCGGGGAGGCAGGCCGGGGCGCCACCCACCAGCCCAGTCCAGCTGGAAAGGTCAGGAAGGAACCCATTGTTCACATCTGTGATGCCAGGCTCGCCAGGGGTCACAACTGGGGAGGATCCACTGGTCAGAGGCGGGGCAGGGAAGTTCACTCAGACTATAAATGACCTCTTCTTGTCTTTCTAGGTTGAGTCAAGAACAAACAGGTCCCTGCGGGCAGGACCTCAAAGAAGGGAGCAGCCCAGAGATGCCTGTGGACTGAAACACAGGAGGCTGAAGGTCTGTGTGGCATTATGCCCAGGCAGCAGGGACACCAAGACCAGGGCCACCACTGTCAGAGCCCCCCAGAGTGCCCTGTGTTGCATCCCATGTGATTACTGGGGTGATTGAGTCCCCATGGGGGTTAGTGCTAAAACTTTCTAGATAGAAGAAAAAATGTGGAGAGTATTTTTTTTCAGGGCCAGTAGGGAGCTGACTATTCTATGTTTCATATCCTGACTACCTGGAGTGTGACAAAGCTAAAGCCATGTCACCACTTAGCTGTGTGACCCTAGACAAGTGCCTTACCCTCTCTGAGCCTGTTTCCTTGCCTGTACACCAGGTTAGACCTCGACTAGAAGGCTTACACAAAATCGTGTTTGTCCGGTGCCTGGCTCATAGACAGATGTTCCACAGCAGTGCTCAGAGGCTTAGCAGGGTCTTCGAGGGGAGGATGGAGTGGCCTTGAGAGGTGGCCAGTTCCACAAGATGCCTAAAATGGTATTTACCATCATCTGGGCAAGACAGAGATTCGGAGTTCCATAAAACAAACAAAAATAATGCGTTTTAAGGAAAAATTTTACCTCGTTCCTCCTGTCAAGTGCTAATATCATTTTAAAAAAGTGTATAGCTCAATATATTAGTATATACCTGTGTGTACCCATTACTCAAGATAACACAAATAACATTTACTGTACCCTATCAGGCTCTTTGTGCTCCTTCCTAATCAATAACTACTGCCTTCCCTGGGCAACCATTATTCTGACTTCTAGTAACACGGGTTAATTTTTCTGGTTGTTAGAATTTCATATAAATGCATCTAAATTGATCAAAATTGATTTATAGAAAGTAAAGCTATGGCTATATCTTTTTGATCAGCATTTAAGGACTGAGACTACTTCTTTCTTTTCAAGAGACTGTCTTGCTGAGTGTGACGTTTCTATTTCTTTTTGTCTTAACTCTATTAATTTTTATTTGAATCCTTATTAACTGGGTAACTTTCCAAAATTACACCCAATAATAAAGAAAAGACTTAGGGATCTGAATTTGCATTTTAGATGAACAATGAGCAATTTGCTACTAGAGGTATGTCCTAGATATTGCATAGGTTTGATGCTAGGAAGAGAAGTAGACATCTGGCTTTTCTGGAATCCACCCTCGCGGGCCCCATACCCTCCAGAACCCAAAAGGAATCCAGCAGCCATGGGGTTACCTGGACAGTTTGATGACCACTTTCCAAGAGGGGGGATGTTCCAGAAAGCCATCCAGCAGGACTGCCCACTGCACCCCGAGGGCCAGCATGAAGAGGTTGAAGGCCACGCTGCTCCAGCCGTATCTCCACAAAGACGAGGTGAGGAAGCCCAAGCCGAGGGCCGCCATGACCATAACATCCTGTAAGATGGCTAAGGGAGGCGATGCCGAGGAGGAGGAAGAGAAGCAGACGAGAGAGAGCAGTGATTTTCAACCCTTTTCATCACAGGGCACCCAGAAACTAATCACCGAAATTCTGCAGCACATCAAAAAATACATTCTATTTTTTTGCCAATCTGACAAAAACAGTATAATTTTGATTCATTCACACCAGAGGGCTATTGTTGTGTTGGCTGTTGTCATTTTAAAAAATATGTATTTTTATGGATTTTAGAGAGGAAGGGAGAGGGATAGAAACATCCATGATGAGAGCGAATCATTGATTAACTGCCTCCTGCATGCCTCCCATTAGGGATTGAGCCTGCAACCTGGGCATATGTCCTGACCCGTATTCAAACCGTGACCTTCTGGTTCATAGGTTGATGCTCAACCAGCGAGTCACACCAGCCTGGCATATTGTCATTTTTTTAAATTTGGCAATCTAAGGGGAGAGAGGTCAGTGCCCCTGACTCAATAGTCAGGTACTGCAAGCTTTAAAAAATCTTGTGGTGCACTGTCGATGTGTCTCAGTGGTTGAGCATCGACCTATGAACCAGGAGGTCACGGTTCAATTCCCAGTCAGGGCTGCTCTGGTTGCCACCTCGATCCCTAGCAGGAGGCAGCCGATTCATGATTCTCTCATCATTGATGTTCCTATCTCTCTCTCTCCTTCTCTCTTCCTCTCTGAAATCAATAAAAATATATTTTAAAACCATTATTGTGGCACACTGGTTCAAAATCGCTGAGGTAGAGGGTTGCATGAAATTAGAGTTTTACAGAATGGCAGCTGGTAGTGATATTAAAGGTCATTTGAGAGTGCTTGGTCAAGTTACCTCACCTCTTTGAGCCTCAGTTTTCTCATCTGAATAATGGGGATAGTACATGCATGCCATGCAGGGTTGAGGGAAGGATTAGATGAGCTAAGCTGGTTAAGCATAAAGTCAGAGCTTGCTTGGCCCATTTGTGAGTGCTCAGGAAATGTAGCAACTATTGCTATTATTAAGCATGATGATATGAGCAAGTGTAGAGCCTCAGGACCAGTGCTTGGCACATACTAGTAGCTGACACTCAGGAAAGGTAATTACTGCTGCTATTGAGGACCCGGTTCAACCTCCAGATCTCAGCACAAGAAAATAAGGCCCAGGAGCCAGTGGCTTGGCTCAGATCATGCAGAAAAGAGGGAAGAGAAGCTCGTCAGCGGGGGCCCAACATTGTTTTAAGCATTTTACACAGACTATCTGGTTTAGTTCTCACAACAACCCTCAGGGTGGGTGCTATTCTTATGATAATTTTACAGATAGGAAAACTGAGGCACAGAGGAGTTAAGACACTGGCCACAGCCCGGCCTGTGTGGCTCAGTGGTTGAGCGTCAACCTTTGATCCAGGAGGTCACGGTGCGATTCCCGGTCAGGGCACAGGCCCGGGTTGTGGGCTTGATCCCCAGTGTGGGGCAAGCATGAGGCAGCCGATCAATGACTCTCTTTCATCATTGATGTTCCTATCTCTTGCTCCCTCTCCCTTCCTCTCTGAAATCAATAATATATTTTTTTTAAAAAGAAACTTGCCTCTCAGCTGGTAGAGCCAGAATGTATACCTAGAGGACCAGCTTTGAAGCCTGTGCCTTTAACTAAAACACTATCTTCCCTTTAGTTTTGTCATCTGTTAAATGGGAAAAATACTCATACCACCTTTGTCAGGCCGCCAGAATCCAGTGGTATAGTGCACAGAATCACTCTGAACAGGAAAGACTATTTTATCAACAAACACCCACTGCTTTTACACGTGTGTAAATGCCTGGAGAGAGGTCTTGAAGGACTCCTCCCCCCACCCCCACCCCCCGCCCATGGAGGTTATCTCTGGTTTGGGAGAGTTTTACTTTTAAAGATTATAAACAACTTAAAAAAAAGCAAAAGAAAAAAAGCATGGCTTTGAGTTTAGACAGTTCTATTTGACTCCAACTCTATCATTCCCTTTAGGTAAACCATATTAAACTGCCAATATTTGGCCATTTTTGATGTTTAAAAATAGCAGTTTACATGTTTCAACTTCACAGTCATGTGGCCTTGTAGGTTGCTTACTTCCCTCATCAGCTGAATATTGGCAAAGTGCTTGGCACACTGCCTGGCACATGGAGAACACTCATAACCAGAACTCTCCAAAGTCTCAAAAAGCCCCTTCAATTTACATTTAAACTCACTTTCATTGCAGAAAACACGCCTAGGGTCTTACATATGGGGCTTGGGTGGGTGTTGATGTTCTCAGATCCATCTGACAACACTGGGATGTAGGAGACCCCTGAGGACCACCATGGAATCCGGGGACGTGGGGAGTGGGTGAGAAGTGGGCATTCAGGAGGATTCAACTTCCTGCACCTTCTTCTCTGACATGAGGGAGGGGTGCAGGCAACGTCTCATTCTCCTGTTTGCATCCTCTTAGAAATGGGGGTGGGATGGAGGTGAGAGGGGAGCATTTTGTAGAGGGGTTCATCCTGGGATTGTTCAGATTCCTTCAGAAGCCAAGCAGAAAACCATGTGTGGGAAGGGTGCAATGCCTACTTGGGAGTGGTGAGGCCTGTAGCCAACTGGGCACTGCACACCCCACTTTAGATATTCAAATTCAATCTTTTCTTAAACACTGCTGTTAAAAAAACCATACCTGCCATTTGCAGCAACACTATATGCATAGGGTTCAGACTTATTGAAGATTTCATGAATAGGGAGACCCTTCAATTTCCTCCCATTCTATATGATAAAAGGCTAATATGCAAATTGTCCCCTTGGGAGTTTGACCTACCTGGAGTTCGGCTGCTCGCTATGATGTGCGGTGACCACCAGGGGGCGGCGCAGAATGAAGGAAGGCCCCGGCCAGCAGCAGGGGGAAGGAAGGCCCTGATCAGCTCTGATCGCCATCCTGGCCTAGGGACCCTCCCCATGCACGAATTTCGTGCACCAGGCCTCTAGTTTTATAGAAAGAGACCAGGGAAAGCCTGTGACTTCCCCAAGTCACACAGCATGCCAGCAGGCACGGTGCCCTTCCACAGGCTAGGCCATCTCTTGTTCCTGTTTGCCCTCACCTCCCTAAGGGACCTTAGTAAGCCCCTTGCCCTCTTTGGGCCTCAGTTTCCCTATCTGTAATACCTGGGAGTTGGACTTGATATTCTCTAAAGACCTCGCTGCTCTGGGATATGCAGAGGAGGGGATCAGTATGGAAGCACACGGGGTCGGGGGAGAAGGGTAACCAGGATTAGGGCAGAGGTGGGGCCCTAAATGTGAGAAAGATCTTGGGTGAGGGTTTCGTCAGGCATAGCAGCCACCGCTGCTGGGTACAGGAGCTCCCCCCCCCCGCCCCCATGGCCCCACACTGTCCCTGAGGGGAGGTGTGCTTCAGCCAGGGGGATGGGATTAGGGTGGCAGTTTCTGGGAGCTGTTGACAGAGCCCATTCACCCCACACTGGTCAGTAAATAACATGATTTCAGGCCCCCTCTTTTCTCACCCCCTGCTCCCTCCCCCTTCCTCTCCCAGGGCACTAGGCCCACACCTGCTCCTCCCACATCTCACTGCCTGGACCCCCCTTCAAGGCTGGGTCCCAGCTCCAGGTGTCCTCATTGGCGTCAGCCTCCACCTCTCAGAGCCTGTGCTGCACCTGCATCAGCCGCTGGTCTGATAAGCTAGTGACTCTAAGGTGTTCCTGGCTGATAAGGAATTTATGTGCTCCAGGGGCCCCAGTGACTGGGCGCCCGAGGGGAATTTCACCATCTAAGGCAGGCCTTCCGCAGATGTTTACAAAAGTCCCAGGAGCCTGAGATGAGGCAATAATTACTATCGTGGTAACAGCAGGCACATACAGGTTGCCCTCCACATACCAGCTTCTGTTCCAAGCGCCTGACAGCCTTAACTGGCAACAACCTCACACAGTAGGTATTACATATTATCATCCCCATTTTACAGATGGGGAAAGGGAGGCATAGAGATGCCAAGGTCACACAGCTAGCAAACAGTGGTGGGAGATCTGAATCCCGACTATCCGGGCATAATCACTACACCATCCTGCCTCACCATATAGCGTATAAAGTGTAATGGTGAAGAGTGTGGGCCTCTGAGGGAGTTTGTTCAAGTTCACGGCTTGGCTCTGCCTCTGTGTCCCAGCCTTCTAATCTGTAAAATGGGTATGAAAACAATGGTGCCTGATCAGAGGATTGCTGTGAACATTGAACTCTCTGGTTAGCATTGGAAATCACTGCACTTAGCACTGGATGCATGGTAAATACTAGTACGTATTATCCCATGCCTGCCACTTGTTAGCTGTGTGACTTTGGGTAAGACTGTACCCCCCAACCCCCCTCGGGCCTGGATGCCCCAGTGATCCTGGCTCTGTGTTCCCACCCACCCTTGCCTCTCCTTCTGGCCTGTCGATACTACGGCCGCACCATCAGCTCTGATGCCAGGACCTCCTTCTGCCTCAGACTGTGGGCTTGACCTCCACACTGTGTTCTCCACTGCTGATTGGGAAGATTGCTGCAGCCCCGACTGGGACCATCCACGGAGCCCTGTGCTGCCTTCCCCTCCCCACAGACTCTATCCCACCCTCATCCCTGCAGCAGAGAAAAAGAGATTCCCAACCAGAGGAGAAGCCAAAGCTAAGATGTGGAAGGTACCAGGATTTGGGGGTGTTCCCATGTCACTGGCAAAGCCCTCTTGTCTTTCAGTAGCTCTTCCTCCTGCTTCTGAGGAGTACAGGGGGAGGACCTAGGTGGTAGTCACAGTGCAGGGCCCAGGCTGCACCCCCACCCCCACCCCCAATTTGGCAGTCTTAGAGCAGGCTCTGTGTGACAGATTGTTACAGTAATGCCTCCAATGAATCATGCCTTTTAATGTAGATCCCTCCCACCCTGGGTTGGGCCTTGTGATTTGCTTTGGCAAATGAGACATTAGTAAACATGATACAAGCAGAGTCTTGAAAAGTTCCTGCACATTGGGGCTTGCCCTCTGTTACTGCAGTAACTCTTCTGTTGCCATGTGAAGAATTCCGGGGCTCGTCTGCTGGCAGCACCCGGGCTAGCTGCCAACTAGCTAGCTATCTGACATGTGAATGAGGCCATCCGAGGCTATCTGCCCAGGTAATCCTCCAGGCTGGAGTTACATGAGTGACCGCAGGTGAAACCAGCAGAAGAACCTCATTGCTGAGCCCAGCCCCAGGTGCTCAACACACAGGCTCATGGTCATGAGCAAATTAAATGGTTGCTATTTTAAGCCACTAAGTTTGGGAGTGGTTTGTTCTGCAGCAACAGATAGCTGATACACTCTGCCTTTCTTGATTATCTCATAGGCACCGAAACTCCGGGCCTAAAATGAACATATCCTTATCCATTTGCCCCACAATCTGCCCTTCCCCTTGCTTGTCATCTCAGGAACTAGCACCTCCATCTGCCAAACCACACATCTGAAGCCATCTTTGACAACTCCATTTTCACCAAGTGCAGCTGATTTTACCTCCTAAATATCTCTCAAATCTCTGACTCTGCTTCTCCTTCTCTCCCCTTGCCCATCGGCCTCATCACAGGTTACCCAGACCAGTTGTCATCAGGGTAGGGAACACACCTCAGGAGATGCTCCAGAGAGGCTCAGACAATCCATAGAGGCCGGAGGAAGATACTAGCACCTCCAGTTTTACTTAATTTTATTTATTTATTAGTTAGTTAGTTAGTTAGTTAGTTAGTCAATCCTCACCTGAGGATATTTTTTCCTTTTTTATTTTATTTTTTAGAAAGAGTGGAAAGGGGAAGGGAGGGTGGGAGAGAGAGAGAAAACATTCGTATGAGCGAGAAACATTGGTTGCCCCCACCAGGACTGAGATTGAACCTGCAATACACACAGTGATTCCTGCTGTGCTCTCCGCCTTCCATTTTCACATGATTAACTCCTGCTGAGCCTCCGCGACCTGGCTGGGTAGTCATCTTCCCACTTGGTTGTGGGCCCTCCTCTGTGCGTCTATATAAAGTAGGTGTCTGAGGACACTTTATATCCACGTTAGCAGCACAGCATAGGGGTAAAGACCCTGGAGCCATTCAATGAAGTTGGAACACCAGCCCCAATGCCTATTGGTTATATGAGAAGTGACTCAACCCACTATAAAATGGGGTCATGAAGAATAATGGCTAAGTGCATGCAAACTAAAACCAAGCTACCTGAATTGAAATGTGCTGTGCTATTGCTAGCTGAGTGACCTTGGGCAAATGACTTAATGTCCATAGGAAAAACAGAGATCGTGAGAGTGCCTGTCTCCTGGGGTTATTGTGAGGCTTCAGTGAAAGCATTTAGAATAGTGCCTGGTATATAGTAAGAGCTCAATAAATACCAGCTCTAATCAGCATGTGCCTGGATCCCACACTGGTTGTAATAGAGGGATGAATGAATGAATGAATGAATGCATTGAATTACACTGTTTTGGACTGAGAAGAATTAAAGTAAATGGAAATGAATTAGAACTGTGCCCAGGCCTCGTTTGCCTGTAAGGGCCCCCTGTGCCAGCCCATTAAGTGGTGTAGGGGCTTCCCTCTCTAAGTCATCTCTTTGTCCTACTTTCCACTGCTGGGGGCCTAGGAGTACCTTCCCTCTGCTTCCAGTGAACTAGTCATTTGGCATCACTGAGGAACAAGCAAGGACTCAACCAGACTCAAGGGTCAGCTTTGTCTCAGGAACCTCACAAGGAGATCTGTCCATTATCATGAGATGCTTGAAAACTCATCTCAATTTTTGTGAAAAACAAAAGCCACACCACGGTGGACACCTGTCTTGTGGACACCTGCGTTGCTCTCATCATCATCTGTAAATATTTTTAGCTGTATATAAAATAACAACCATCCTACACTCCCTTTCAGCTGTACTTTATGGCTTTGGATTTGCTCACAGAATGCAGACTTTTCAGCCTCAAAGTGAGAAGAGGGCTGGGGATGGAGAAGGGGCAATAGACTAAAGCTTCCAAAAGGTGGTCGATACAGAAACGAGCATGAGAGACCTTGAAAAGATAACAAAACCCCAAAACCCAGCAATGTGAAGTTCTGCTGCTAGGAGAGAGAAGTTGGGGGAAGCAGAGAATGATGAAGACTACTTGTCAAAGGGAATTCTGGGAACACAGAAGCGGAGGCTCCTCACTCTGTTCTGAGAAATCAAGGCAGGCTTCCTAGAAGAGGTGATGCCTACATTGTTAGCTGCATCTTTGTGCAACCTGTGGAACAAGATCAGAGAATCCCTTTCCTTGGAGACTTGGTGGAAAGGACCATTTAGGCTCCTGGAGGACCACAGACCTCCTTTGCCCCCGCCCCTATTTGCCTCTGTGACCACCTCCCCTCTGGGCACTCACCTCCATGAGTCACCACAATCTTCGGATCCTTTGAGGAGCTGTCATAGTTGGCGAAAAAGAAGAAGATGACAATGAGAGCCGCCTCCAGTATTAAGGTCCACAGGGGCAGGCAGCACCGCATAGACCGTGGGTACTTAGAGCCCATCCTGGGTGCGTCTCTGTGCGTGGTTCTGCGGGCACCGGCATTACCCCTCTGTCCCCACACCCCTTTGAGGGAGTGATGGGGAGCCACCCGCCAAAAGCCTTATCTCCGGCTGCAAGGCTGGCTCTGTTGGCCTGTCTATGAAGTTAACATGGGAGCAGAGAAACTATGACAGGGTGGGGGAGGAAATGCATGTATTCCAACATTCATTCATTTATTTATTCACTCAACAAGTAGTTGCTGCATTCCTACTAAGGGCAGACGATGTGCTCAGTTTAAAAGGGGGCATTCATTCACTCGGCCCCCAACCATAAGAATCCTCCTTTATTCATTTCTTTACTTTATCCTCACCGTAGTCCTGCAAGAAAGGCAGAGAATGGATCAACAATCCGTTTTACAAATGAGGAAACTAAGGCTCAGAGGAAGCTTTAGATTGGCAAAATTGTACTTTAAAACTTCATCTAGGGCAGCAGTTCTCAACCTGTGGGTCGCGACCCCTTTGGGGGTCGAATGACCCTTTCACAGGGGTCACCTAAGACCATCGGAAAACACATATATAATTACATATTGTTTTTGTGATTAATTACTATGCTTTAATTATGTTCAATTTGTAACAATGAAAATACATCCTGCATATCAGATATTTACATTGCGATTCATAACAGTAGCAACATTACAGTTATGAAGTAGTAACGAAAATAATTTTATGGTTGGAGGTCACCACAACATGAGGAACTGTATTAAAGGGTCGCAGCATTAGGAAGGTTGAGAACCATTGATCTAGGGCATCTAGTGAGCTCCTAATAGAATGTATTAAATGAGAATGAATGAATAAATGAATGAAAGCAAGGAATAATACTGAGCTCTAGGGGGGATATAGATATGCCCCATGGAGAACTAACTCCTTAGAGTTACACAGATGAAGTTATTTATATTTGAATCTGTATTTAAATCCACTTATTTCTAAACTAGAGGCCTGGTGCACAGATTTGTGCACCGGTGGGGTCCCTTGGCCCTGCCTGTGCCCTCTCGAAATCTGGGACCCCTTGGGGGATGCAGGAGGTCCAGTGCACAGATTTGGCCCAATCCCCACAGACCAGGCCGAGGGGCCTCTAGTATGCATAAAAGATCTTTGGTTAATCTCTTCCAGCCCTCCCCACTCTCCCCTTTCCTCTGAGATTCATCAGTCTGTTCCATGTTTCCATGCCTGTGCATTGAGCGTCTGCCCCCTGGTGGTCAGTGTGTGTCATAGCTACTGGTTGAACAGTCACTTAGGCTTTTATATATACAGATCTTTTAAGGGTAGGTGGGAGAAAAGAAAGGAGACTTTGGCCCAGTAAAAACCTGGTGGGAGACCTGGTCACTTCCTCACAGAGCAGCCTAGGAATCTGCTAGGGGCATGAGCACTTAGAGGAAAGACACCAGCATCCCCATCCCACAGTGGTGGACAGTCCCTGAAATGGGATTTAGGCCAACTGATTTCTAATTCCGACCCTGCAGCTAATTTCTCCCGTGACCCACATGCATGTGCCTAGCAGAAGGTCTAACATAGAACAAGCATCAACAAAGGAGGGAGGGAAGAGGAGGAAAAGGAAAGAATGACATAAGGAAAGAAGGAAGGAAGGAAGGTTACTTTTATTTTAGATGCTTTCGGGAGCTAACATTTACTAAGCGTTTACCATTGCTAGGCACTGATCTAGGTGCTTAACATGTGTGGACTCAGTTGATGACACTGTGCGATGGGAACTATTAGTCATAGAGTACAAGTGAGGAACCTGAGGTGCAGACAGGTTAATGAGTTGCCCAGGTTTACAGGGCTAGTAAGTAGGAGAGCTGGGATTTAAACCCAGGCAGTCTGACTTGTGCACATGAGTGTTTAGCCACTTAACTAGCCCAGATGACTTCGAAGTCTTCTTCTAAAGTCTAGGAATATAGGATTCCTAGCCCTCAGCTACCTCAACAGTAAATAAGGGAGCAGGTGCCCTGACTCCTAGAGATCAGAGATCAAAAGTCTCCATTCCCCTCATGATCACCTGGTTCTGATTTCTGGCCTTTTGCTGGCCATCAGCACTTCCTATGACCTGGGTATTGTAAGGAAGGACTCCGCTGTGTGGAGGAATAAATGAATGTGACCCCTGTTGGTCTGGGTCCTGTGCCAGTAGCTTGTAAAGCAGGCAGTCAGACCCACTTGCCCAGGGGCACCAGACGTCAGCCAGATGAACACAAGATTTCCAGCCCCTGTGACTGCAACCCCCGGACGGTTGTGTTTCCCAGCTGACAAGCTCCGTGTGAACGGCAGCTGATTCCATGGGACCCCAAACACCTGTGCATCCTGATTCAGCCCCAGTGAGAGCCTGGCTGCTGGACAAGAGGGCCAAGCTCCTCGCTGAACAGAGAAGCTTTCTTTAATAAAGGAAGCCCCCCCCTCCCCACCCCCGCCTGGAGTTGGCCTCTTCCAACAGGTTTGTTCAAAGGGGAGTTGTCTCTCTTCTCCTCTGACTCTTGCAAAAGTCCCCTGGTTTCTGACAACAGTTCCAGGTTGTCTGCAGATCTTCAAGGCAGGTCACCTGGAAACAAAAAGCACAGGGGATCCAGGGCAGCTATGTCATCAAACAAATAGAGTTAAACGTTATTGTTGAGTAGGTGGAAGGTGAATGACTTCACTGAGCCAGTCTTTCAACTTTTTTTGTGTTTGTTTGACATTTTTCATAATAAAATGGTGGGGCCCTAACCGGTTTGGCTCAGCGGATAGAGCGTCGGCCTGCGGACTGAAGGGTCCCAGGTTCGATTCCGGTCAGGGGCATGTACCTTGGTTGCGGGCACATCCCCAGTAGGGGGTGTGCAGGAGGCAGCTGATTGATGTTTCTCTCTCACTGATGTTTCAAACTCTCTATCCCTCTCCCTTCCTCTCTGTAAAAAAATCAATAAAATATATTTAGAAGAATAAATAAATAAAATAAAATGGTGGGAAAAGAGCACGTGTGCACCCGCTGCTCTCTCTGCCTGAAACACTCCTCCCAGCAGCCATCAGATCCACGCCCCAGGGGCTTTTGACTGTTTAATCTTCAGCACCTGCTGCTCGGTCCATAGTAGATATTCTCAATACATAGTTGTTGAATGAATAAGAGCTGCCACTTCTGGAATGCCAAGCTCTGGGCCAAGACTTTTGCATCCATTGTTTCATTTAATCTTCCCCGAAAGCTTGTGAGGATAGGCATCACCACTTTCATTTTACAGGTGAGGAAAGTGCTGCTCAGAGAGATGAAGCGAGTCCCCAAAGTTACACGGCGGGCAAATGGCAGAGCTGGGGCCCCACTCATGTCCACCTGATGCCACTGCTTGTGTTGTGAGCTGCTTTGCAATTCCGCCTTCCCTTTCCGAAACCATTCACAGTCTCCGTTTCCGGAGGAGTCAAATGAGATGCGCTTCTCTGCTTTCCTCACAGGGTTATTATAAAAAAGAATATGTAAGCATGCTTGGCACCTGTGTCATAGAAAGGAAGGTGGGAAAATGGTGCTATGACTGTATCATCCTGGTTTGAGTGGCTGGTGTGATGACTCAAGTCAGAGGGACTGCAGCTTTCACATGTGATCATGCATTTTGTGTAAAAACAGGACTCTATGAGAATAGCTCCCATGCCCTCCTCACCTTGGTCATGGGCAGTGACTAAGGAGGAACATCGTGCCTTCATTCTCTCTCAGGAAAGCTTGTCCACACCAAGGGTATGGGCCTGCTCTGGGCACACCTGGGTAAAGTGTGGCTAAGTCAATTATTCATTCATTTAACAAACTTGAGCTTGAGAGTCAGGCAACCTGGGTTCAAATCCTACCTCTGCTGTGTGACTATGGGTAAGATGATCAACATCTCTGAGTCTGTTTCTTCATCTGTAAAGTGGCTTTCACAGTGGTGGGCAGCCTTGGTGAAAGTTTGAGCTCCGAGCTTACCCTTGGTCACCCAGTGCCACTTTATCAACATGCTGGAGTAGAGGCGAGGGATTAAAAACAGGGCCCTGTTAACAGTTATTACTTGCTGTCGCTTACTGCATGTCTGGCCCTGAAAGTTCATTATCCTGGAAGCCTTAAAAGATCCCAAACTGGAAACAGAGGCTCTGAGAGATTCTGTAATTTGCCCAAGCTAGTGGGTGGCCAAGCTGGAATTTCTATCCTCGTCTGAAAAAGCAGGTACTCTTGCCATTTTCCAAACTTCATCTCTGCAGGCTATGGATCCAATCCCCAAGAAGCTTTTCACCTAGGCAGATGGGTAAGCCTCACCCGGGAAACCACAGATGAAGAGCAGAACTGATGGAGATGCTCTGTGAGAAAGCAAAGGCAGGAAGGCGGGGAGATAGGTTGGAGTGGGTTTGAGGACAGTGAGTAGATAAAGCTTGCTTGCCTGGGTAGGCCTGGAAAGGGTCCCCATTGTGGCCAGCTCTGGACTCTGTAATAAAGAAAATGGGTTTTCTCTTTCAGGCCCTGAGGATATTTTGAAGATTTGCAAGTAGGATAAGGTAACAGAGAGCAGTGGTTGAGGACAATGCATTTGGTATAAATTACTTGTTCCTCCTTGGAGTGGGTGTTGATTGAAGGAGTGATCACAGGGCAGGGAGGGAGAGGTCTACCCAACCCAGGGCAAACAAGATGCCGTGTACTTCCTGGAATTTTTAAAAATGTGCTGGAAGACCACCTAATAGTCCCACTATTTATGAATGGTTAAGTTGGTATAGCCACTTGATAGATTCTTCAAACATCAGAAATATCTAGGAAGGGGGTATGATGACACTTAAAAATGCTTATCCTATCTAATAATAGACAAACATGGTAATTGAACGTACCTTCGTTACGCCTCCCATTGGCTAAGTGGCAAGATATGCAAATTAACCGCCAGCAAAGATGGCGGTTAATTTGCATACGAAGGTGCGGAGCGGCGGAGCGAAGGCTGAAGGCAGCTCCAGCCAGAGCAAAGGTCTGGGTCCCCGGTGCTGGAGGAAAACCGGTGCTGGCAGCCAGGGGAAGGGAAGCCCTATTGTACGAATCTTTTCGTGCAACAGGCCTCTAGTATTAAATAAAGAACAGAATACAAAC